TGAACGCGTGTGTACATGCGTGGGTGTGAGCGCAAGCAGGCTAGTGTAAGAGTGACTGGGTGTGTACGTGCATGGATGTGAGTGCGAGCGGGCTAGTGTAAGAGAGACTGAATGCATGTGTACATGCGTGGGTGTGAGCGCGAGCAGGCTAGTGTAAGAGTGACTGGGTGTGTACGTGCGTGGATGTGAGTACGAGTGGGCTAGTGTAAGAGTGATGGAATGCGTGTGTACGTGCGTGGATGTGAGTGCGAGCGGGCTAGTGTAAGAGTGACGGAATGCGTGTGTACGTGCATGGATGTGAGCGTGAGCGGGCTAGTGTAAGAGTGACTGTGTACATGCGTGGATGTGAGTGCGAGCGGGCTAGTATAAGAGTGAATGTGTGTGTACGTGCGTGGGTGTGAGCATGCTAGTGTGCTACGTGCGTGGATGTGAGCGTGCTAGTGTAAGAGTGAGTGTGGGTGTACTGCATGGGTGTGAGTGTGACTTGTGGGTGCAAATGAACATGACCTGTTCGTGCAAATGTGCATGAGAATGTGTGTGACTGAGTGTCACCGTGACTGTGCGTGTGGGGGGGGTGTGCGAGCACGTGTGTCTGTGTTTTGGGGACACGCGATGAATGGCGGCGAGGCTGGCCGGGGCGCTGTGCAGATCTGAGGAGGGGCCTCCCAGCAGGAACAAGGGCGTTGGCATGTGTCTTGTGTTGCTCTTGCAGGCCCAGCCCCTAAGCCACGCCCCCAGCTTCAACGGGGAAGGGCTGGAAGGGCCTGCGGGCCTGGCCAAGGCTCCGGGGCCCCGGGGGAGCGTGCTGCCCGAGTACGCCGAGCGCCCCGAGGGGGCCCGCCGGGACAGCGCCCCGACTGAGAGCCGCCCAGCCAAGAGCGACGTGCCCATCCAGCTGCTCAGCGCCACCAACCAGATCCAGAGGCAGACGGCCGTGCAGCAGCAGATCCCCACCAAGCTGGCGGCCTCCACCAGGGGCAGCAAGGACAAGGGCGGCAAGAGCAGGGGCTCCCAGCGCTCGGAGAGCTCCGGTGAGCCGCGGGGTGGGCCGAGAGGGGCGGGCCTCCCCAGCCCCTGCGCCTGGTGGGAGGGGGGTGTCTCCCGGGCCTGCCACACCCCTCCCCCCAGACCGGGCTCCAGTGATGGGCAATTGTGAGACCAAAGCGGCTCTTTGTGGGCGCAGAAAACCGGGACCCCGGGGCCATCCTGCCGCAGGGGCGCCAGGACACCGGAAGGCACAGCTGGCAGCGTGGCTGAGGCTGCCTACGCCCCCCCAACATGCACACACACACGTAGACACGCGCACACGCACACACACGGAGGTCTTTTATCTCAAGAAGCAAAATTGATGTGACAGACCCAGCTCAGTCCTGAAACTGGGTTGCGGGCAAGGGAGCATCTTGGCGACTCAGAAAGAAGGGGCCTTGGAGACCTTTTCGGAGGTGATCACCATGGGCAAGAAGTCTGAGAGCCCTGGTCAGTTAGGGACAGTGTGGTGACCGATGCTAACGCTCGCCACCGAGCCCTGCCAGGTGCAGGTCCTGGCTCCATGCAGGGGACACTGAGGCCTGGCCCCAGAGCACCCTGCAGCGGGTGGTCCCCCAGTACAGAAAGCCCAGGGGCTCCCTCAGCTGCGGCAAGCCTGCAGGCCCCGGGGGGGAGCCCTCCCAGGGGCATCCTGAGAGCAGGGCCTGTGTCCCAGGACCCCTGGGGCTCCCGGGTCTCGGCCCTCGTCCAGAGGCTGAATTACCACAGGGCCCTGTGTGGTCGGGTGGGAGCTGTCCTCCTCATTTCTGCATCTGGGGCTTAATACCTGAGTGGGGTCTGTCCCTGGGAACGGGCGCTGGGCTCCCTGCCCAGCCGCCTGTGGGAGGTACTGAGGCGTGGGGGGCGGCTCACGTGCCTGGCGCGAGGCCAAGCACCCCATGCCGCGCCCTCCTCCCTCTTCAGCCTCGTTCGACCTGAAGCAGCAGCCGCTTCTCAACAAGCTCATGGGCAAGGACGAGAACGCCTCCCGGAGCCGCCGCTCGCTGAGTCCCGTGCTGCCCAGCAGCCACAGCCCCGCGCCCCCCCCAGGTGAGCCAGCCCCCCAGGGAAGCAGGGCCGTGCCCGGTGCCTGGCAGCTGCTGACGACCACAGCCCCATCTCTCTTGCAGACCCCGGCTGCCCGGCCCCACCTGATGCCCCCGCTGACTACTTCTCCTTCAAGGCCGGGGGGGCATCCGTGCCCCCGTCCCCCTCGCCACTGCCCACCACACCACACAACATGGAAGAAGCCAGCAAGGAAGACGTCATCTTCTTCTAGGGGGCTGTGGCTCGAGGTGCAGGCCCCTCCCTGTCCTGCCCACCCCCTCGCTCTCTGGGGAACCGCCCAGCTGTCCCTCGCCCCTTCCTGAGCGAACCACCACTGCCGACCACCCGGCGGGGGTCGGGGCAGGGCCAGCGCCAGCCTGTCATCTCCAGGCTCTTTCCATAGGATTAGCACTGGTGTCTGGGTACTTCTCTAAATCTCTGTCTTCTTAAATACAAAAAACGAAAGTTTTTAATCGAAGGTTGAACCAGAGCTAACCCAAGGAGCTGTTTTAAGTCGTAGCCCCACATTGGGGTAGGGGAGAGATGGACTCCCAGAGGTTTTCCCAAGGTAGTGACAGCCCATGGTGGTTCCCCAACAAGCCTGGTGACAGGCCAGGCCTTGGTCTGAGGAGGTGCTGGCTGGCCCCACGGCCACTAGGAGACACTGGAACGTGTCACTAGGGCACCAGAAGGGGCCGGTGGTGTCGGCTCTGTCTGTCGGCAGAATCAATTTCCAAAGCAGAAACTAAGCAGGTGCATGTGAACCTTGAGGCCAGAGCGTGAGCTCAGACCAGGGGCGGCCCGCAGCCCGCCTGGGGACAGAGAAGGGCAGGGGGCTAGAGAGGCTGGCCGATGGCGCTCTAGGCGGCTTCTGTAGGTTCAGAAGCGCCTCCTGAAGGGGGCTGACTGTAACTCATTTTAATCCATCATTTTAAAACCTCAGTGCTTTCCCAAGCCAGCGTGGTTCTGTGGGCCGCGAGGGCAGCGGCCGTTCTCCAGGACTCGGCCTGTCGAGAGACCGAATTGAGAGCTTCAGCCGGGGCCAGCACACCCCGAGGGGCCCGGCCCTGGGCCGAGGGTCCTCAGCCCCCGTGAGTTGGGCCGGTTTCCCAGGGCAGGTGTCCTTCACTGATGAGCAGGTGCTGGTCTGACATGAAGCAGAGCCGTGGGGCCACATGTCCGGGCAGACGAGGGTGAAACGCTGGAGGGACCACACGTGGCCACCACCTCATGGGCACCTCACGTCCAGTGAGCTGTCATATCTTATTGTCGACTTCTCCTGGAGGAGAGCGAAGGCCACTGGTCCAGCCGCGTGGCTGTAGATGTTGGCAATGGTGTTGGATGTCCAGGAACCATCCAGAGGGGACACTTGCTTCAGATCCACATTCCAGCTCTGGCTCAACTCAAGCTGGGGTGCTGGGGTGGGGGAGCGGGGACCTTGCAGCCTTTTGCTGCACCCCAGGCTCCCTGCACTGGGCCCGCAGCCCAGCACCTCCTGAAGCGCTGGCGGGAGGACTGGGTCCTGTGCTGACCAGGAGCGGGGACACTGCAGGGTCGAGGTGACAGAGCCAGTCGGTGACGAGCTGAAGGCAGCCGTCCCGAACCTCTCCCGCGCACAGTAAAGGACGCGGCGTCCCCGGCCCCTCCCAGCACCTCTCTTCGCCCCGTGCCCACCCCTCGCCTCTGCCTGCGGGGCCTGCAGCCTCTGGGGAGCAAGGAGAAGCCGCCTCCTGGTCCTGTGACGCCCATCGGAGCTCCCCCGTGCCGCGTCTGTGGTCAGTGTTTCGTGTTTTGTACTGAGTATCGAGCACTTTAGAAGAGGTGACCTTCAGTTCCCGTCCTGTTGTGACGACGACATTCCCGGGCCCTCATGCCGGGTGATCTCACGGCCGCGCCCCTGCCCACGTGCTCTGGGCTGACCCTCCATGCCGCCATGACTCCTCGGACCAGAAAAAGTTCAGGGAGTCCACTCGGCCACGTGGCGGGAATCGGGCTCCTTGCCACGCAGCCCAGGGGCTGTCTCAGCCATGCCACGCAGCGGGGCAGCAGGGGCGGTCCATCTCTCGTCGGTACCCCGAGTCACCCCAGGCAGAGCCCAATTCTACTTGTAAAGTTGGTGGTCAGCAGATGTCCTTGTCTCCGTGGGACCTGTGCACGTCTTCGTTAATCGTGACCGTGATCTGAGTCCACGCGACAACTATTTTTACAATGATGCAGCGTTTCCTCACTGCGGGACGTTTCGGAACCGCCCTAGAATTTACGACCCGAGTCTAGCAATAAAAGTGTCTAAGACAAACTGATTGGAGTGGCCATGCTATGGGGTTTTGTTTTAGGACCATCCGCCCACACGGGTGCTGTGGTGGTGAGTGCTGGCGGGGCCCCCCTCAGAGCCTCTGCTGCAGCAAGACCTCGGGGAGGCCCCACCAACTCCCCTCCACAGCTCCTGCCTGGAGCCCGGAGAGCCACAGGGGCTCTGGGGCCTGCCTGACAACTGGGCTGTGACGCCCCATCCCTCACGGCTGGGCGCAGGTCACCTGGGCCCCTCAGCTGCTGTCACCTCTCCTGCTGGGTGCAGGCATCAGGCCTGTGGGAGAGTGACCACACCACTCCCCCTGCCCTGCGGCTGGGGTGGGGAAGCAAGGAGGCTGGGACACCTCCTGGGCAAGTGACACGGTGCTCCCCACCGCTTGGCGCCAGCTTGGATCAGCCGCTGAGTGATCAGGTCTGAGGAGACCACACAGAGGGGCCCGGGCCGAGGAACCTGCTCTGGTTCCTTCTGAGGAAGTCCCGGATGATCACGTTTAAAGTCAGAGGCGGTGGCTGCGGTGGCCCCCAGGAGAAGCAGCCCCCCCAAACAAGGCCAAGGTTTGGGAATGCCGCCAAGTCCTCCCTGCCCTGGCTGGGTCCTCTCTCATTTAGGGCCCTGGGGTCCCAGATGCCAGCCTCCTTAACAAGGAGCCATCGCCCCACAGTGAGGCCCTGCCAGCTTCTAGGTGGTCCCCAGGGCCCACCAGCCTCCTGCTTCCTGACAGCCGGTTTGCCACAGATGCGCATCCTGCTTAATGCTTGGAAAATCCTTTTAGGCTCCGTTCCCAGGAATTGGCTTGCTTCGCCCCAACCTGAAGAGGCTGAGCTGCCGGCCCAGGGAAGGGCACCGGGCAGGGGGTGTGGCCACACTGCGGGCAGGGCCAGCTCCTTAGCCACCCAGCAGTGTGCCTGAGGCTGGGCAGCTGTCCCCCCAGCGTTGCCGCCCGGCCAGCCCTGACGCTACAGCCCAAGCCCTGGCGTCTGGCTCTGCCCAGGCCCGCAGGGACGCCGGCCTGTTGGGGTACCAGTGACCTGACGTTAATAGCAGGGGTCCACATGGCTTCCCCACAAACTCGCTGCTCCGAGTGCTTTACAGGTATTAACTCACTGAGTCTCCAGACAGGTAGGCGGGTGCCGCTCTGACCCCGACTCTAATCGCACTGGGGCCCCTGGGCGCTGGGAAGGGGGCCTCTGCGAAGGACCGAGGCAAGTTCGCCGCCCTCTTTGCAAGAGGGAAGGGGGAGACTGACCCAGCCTGGCCCCTCCCCTAGTCCAGAGGGCCCACCCGTGAGCCCTGGGTAGAAGGAGCCCCCATGGGGGACCGGCCGGGAGCCAGGTGGAGTCTCCTCTGCATCCCATGATGCCCTGAGCGGCCCTCCATCCTAGCTGCTTCCAGCCACATACCTTCCTTGTTTTTAAAAGAAAAGAACAAGATGTGGCTGATAGCACAGGAGGCTTCAGGCGCTGCAAACACCCATTGTGTTGCATCCTCCCAGCGCTTGTGAGATGTAAGGAAGAGCATGATTCCCTCCCCTTTCCCACCGGGACTTAGAGGTGGGGGGTCCAAGGACACGTCAAGAGCAAGGGGTAGGCGTGGGCTCGCCACCATCTACTGACGCCTGCCCGAGGCCACACACGTCCTCTCAAACGTCAGACTGAAAAACAAACGCATCCCATCCCGCCACGATCTCCATGATGCGGGAGATAGAGGCACGGGCATCTTCAGAGACACCGGCGTGCATGGACCAGCCCCAGCTCAGAGCCCACAAAATGCTCAGACGGGCCCTGGATGCACAACGACGGCCCTGGGTCCAAGCTGTGCCTGAGAGTGAGATGCTTCAGCCACGACAAGCACCCGAGATGCCCAGGAGGAGGGCGCGACACGGGCATGGCCTGGCAGGAGTCAGCATCTGGGACCCCTGTGCCAGAGATGGGAGGGAGGGCGGCGCCCCGTGGCTGAAGTGGGCCGTGCTTGCAGAGTCGGAGAGGACCCACCAGCCAAGGACATTCCAGAAGGCAGGCAGGGAAGGTGCGGTTTCCCACTGCATTTCCGTCCCGGGAGAAGCTGAACCCAGGACACCGTCACGCCCAGAGGTGGCGCCTGCACACCATCCCTAAAATAAGGCCCAGGGACGCGCCTCCAGGAGAGAGAGCCTGTGAGTGAGCGGGCCTGCGGACGGGAGGGGCCTGGAGTAGGTGAGTTTCGGAAGAACTACTCACACCTGGGCCTGGCACCAGCACCACAGTATTTAATTGATTCTCGTGTCAGCTTCCTAAGGCCCCACGTGGTGCACGGGGTCCTGGCCTCCCTGCTTGCCTTCACTGGAATACAGGACACCGGGCGGCAGAGCCAGGAGCCAGGCTCTGCTGAGGCCGGCGGTGTCCTTCTCTGCATGGGAGACCCGGGCCCTCCTGCTCCGGCCCTGAGAGAAGCCAGGCCTGGGAGGAAAGGTCCTGGCCCCAGCGCCTGGGGGACCTCGCCCCCCGCTGCTCCGTGCCGTCTTTGGGTTGCATCTCCCCACACCTGGCCTTGATTTGCTCAGTTAGAGACCCAGCCCCTGCCTGGGTGATTTCTCCTTTGGAGGAAGGGGCCCTCTGTCTGGCTTCGGCTGCATCCACGAGCTCCCCGCAGCGTGTCAGGGGTTGGCGGCATCGGCCTGGCCGGCCCGGACTGCCTGATAGACGCTGAGGAGGGAGGAGACGGTGCCCAGGAGGCCCACCAGCCACGGGGGGAAGCGGCCGGCCCACAGGACGCCCGGGGGCAGCCAGTGCACGGCATTGGCCAGGTCGGCCAGGTTGCTCAGGACAGTCAGCACCTCCGACTGGACCTGGGCCTGCATGGCCCTCCTCTTGCTAGGGGGCAGCTGGCTGTGGGGGCAAAGAGGAGACGCTCAGGGGGGGCCCTGTGTGCCCACACCCGCCCACACGCGCAGGAAAGGAGTGACCACAGACCCGGCTAGTGAGTGAGGACTGGTAGGACCCCACGGGGACTGAGTCCCCGTCACACCCCCAGAGGGAGCCCACAGTGCGCACAGGGCACAGACCAGCGTGGAGAATCTCCCACCCACACCTCTGTCGTCTGGACCCCGGGAGTCAGGCTGGGCTGAGGGCAGGGGCCGGGCCTGTGCTGGGCACAGCTCCACGGCGCGGTCTTTCCCAGGATGGGACAGTGACAGCGACCGTGGTCCTCAGGAAGCTGACTCCATCTCCCATCACCCTCCCTGTTGGGGGCGCAGCCATGAAGGCTCAGCCCGGGAGTCCTGGCTCTGCCTCTTCCCACAGGGCCTCAAGCCAGCCTCAGTTTCCCCATCCGCACCACCCCCCTGGAGGCGGCAGTGAGGCTCCAGCACAGGGGTGGGCCTGGTAACTGGTGGCTGCTCTGAGCACCTCCCTGGCTGGGGAAACCCGCCGGGGCCCGAGCCTGCGGGAGGAGTGTCGCACCTGGGGAAGGGCGCTGTGGGGCTCCTCAGCCTCTGTCTCAGCGTCAGGACCATCCACAGGGACCTGCAACACCACAGAGGATGGGAGGACTCCCCGCCGGAGGGCAAGAGAAGCAGGACGGTGCTCAGGGCTTAGCTCCCCAGGGGCGGCCACACGGCCACAGGCTCCCTGTGAAGTGTGCCGAGCTCCCCAACAAGTGGCTCCAACCATCCTGCGCCCTCCCGGAGCTCCAGAGCTGGCCGTGCCCTGAAGCTCCAGGGGGCTCATCCCTAATGCAGACCCCCCCCTGCCCGGGACGTCTGCGCCCGATTCAGGAGCGCCCAGCACTTCTGGCCTGGCCAGCCAGGGCCCCCCAGCCTCTGAGAACCACTGGCCCAGAGCCATGGCTCAAAGGAACATGTAGGGTGTTTACAGCCCAGCTGGGAGGCCACCCCTCCATAGACGAGGACACTGAGACTGGCCCACAGCTGGACTGGCCTGAGGAAGCTGTTCCCCATCCCGCACCTTGGCCAGTGCACCAGGTAAATGTGGTCCAGATCCTTCCATGCCTGTCCCCAACACACACACACACCCTAGACACTGGCTGGACCTGCCTGAGGTGAGCCTGGACAACCCTCTGGGCCCCGAGGGCTGGCATCTGCAGACTGAGGAAGCGGCCACCAGGCGGGCAGCCTCTCGTGCTCCCTGGGGACCCACGCAGGCTGCTCTGCCTGGCCCTGCTGTGGGCGTGTGGTGCCTGAACGGGCCGAGTCCTGCCTGTTGGAGGGCTGACCTCAGCCATACTTCCCGACTGGGAGGTCCAGAGCCTGGTCACATCTCCGCGGCCACCGTGTACCCGTCCCAGTGACATGTCCCCAGGGAGTACAGGACACGGGGCAGCATCTGCAGTGAAGTAGGTGGACCTGCCTCAGGGCCACCTGGGGGACAAGGGCAGAATGATTCCTGGGCCCCCCGACCCTGGGCATCGGAACCTCGGGGTGTGTGGCCCAGGCACGTGCATTTCAGCAGCCTGCCAGGTGATTCTCTGGCGCCCTGGGGTCTTAAGGACACTGCTCATGACGAGCACACACCAAACGCTCCCCAACCCTCACACCCCTGTTCACACCAAATACAGAGAGATGATGGAAAAGCCACATGCTCTAAAAATGAATGGAATAATAGAGCACGGAGGAGTTTTAGGGCGGTGACACTACCCTGTATGATACTGGGATGGTGGATCCACGTCATTACACATTTGTCCAAACCCATGGAATGTACAGCACCAGGAGTGACCCCTCATGTCAACTGTGGACTCTGGGTGGTGAGACGCATCCACGTTGGTTCATTAATGTAACGTAACAAATGTCCCAGTCCGGTGCCATGCTGATCGTGGGGGAGGCTGTGCCTGTGGGGGTATATGGGAACCCTACTTTCAGCTCGATTTTGCTGCGACCTAAAACTGCTCTAAAAGATCAAGTCTATTAAAAAAAAATAATGGAACCAAGGCTGCCCCTAAAACAGGAATGGAAGTCTCTTGGGGCCAGAGGTCACAAGGCAGCCCGAGGAGAGGCCACAGCCTCAAGAGCGGCCACAGCCAGCCAGGCACTGCCCGAGTCCCTGAGCACACGGGGACTCCACAGACTGCGACCGCGACTCCAGGGAGCTTAGATCTAGAGGGAGCCATGTCCGTGAGACAAGCTCAGAGACGAGCAAAAATCAGAGATTTAGAGAGTGGGGATCTCTGGGTTGGACTGTGGGTCACCTGAATCTTCCACTTTGGGGTTTGTTCATTTTCCAGACTGTCTACCATAAGCATAATTAGGGCATCTGTAATGGGGGTTGGGGAGGGGACAAGGACTACTGAATGTCAGTGCCTTGCCCAGGGACAAGTGACAGCAGATGTGGGCACTGCCCACCCCATGCCACCCTCAGGTCAGGGGCCGCCCTGCCATCGGTTCAGGGATCCGAGAGACCTTTGCCACCCGTGCCACGGGCACGGGAGGCCCTGCTCCACCCGTGCTTTCTGGGGCAGGGACTCTGAACAAACCCGCTCAGCAAATTGGCAGAGAGGGAAATGTTTGGGAAGAAACCATTATTTTAAAGTTCTGGAAACCTTACGGTTTCGGAAACACAGAGCCAGTCAGGAAACTCCTAGCTGTTTCATCTACGGCTGTTTGCCGACGACAACGCAAGCAGGGACCCTGGTAAAGGCAGCCACACCGGCCGCTTCGGTCCAGGCCCCAGAGTTTCTTCTTCTTCCTGGGTCTGGTGGGTACCATATGGCCCCCCAAAAATGTCCACGTTCTAATCCCCAGGACCTGTATGTTCCCTTACGCGGCAAAAAGGACTGTGCAGATGGGATTAAGTTAAGGATCTTGAGGTGGGAGATGATCCAGGTGACCCAATGTCATCGCAAGCGTCCCCATAAGAGGGAGACAGGAGGGTCAGAGTCAGAGAAGCTGTGTCAATGGAAGCAGAGGTTCGAGTGATAGGCTCTGAGGATGAAGGAAGAAGCCACGAGCCAAGGAATGCAGGGGGCCTCTAGAAGCTGGAAAAGGCCAGGAAATGGAGTCTCCTTTAGAGCTTCCAGAAGGATCGCAGGCCTGCTGACACCTTGATTTTAGCCCAGTGAGGCCCATTTTAGACTTCTGGCCTCCAGAACTGTAAGATAATCAATTTGTGTTGTTTAAAGCCACCAGGTGGGTGGTAATTTGTCACAGCAGCCATAGGGGACGATACAGGGGGGTGGCCTCAAGATGAGGAAAAGCAGAAGACAAAAAGACTCACACTCCTCCAGCCGGTCGGCCATTTGCCTGGGGATCTCAGGTGCTCCCTTCTGCTGGCGGGAGGTGACACTGCTTACCTGGCGATCCCCAGGAGCAGGGAGAGGCCCCAGCAGGCTGTGCTCAGTGTCCACCACCGGGCAGAGTCCACGTGGAGGATCTTGGCGTCCGCGGCCCAGGCGACATGCTCGCAGGGGTAGTAGAGCTGGTCGGCCAGGTTGCCCAGGACAGACACGCAGCGGACAAAGATGCCTTCCTCCTGCAGGACCAGGAGAGAGAGGGGGATGGGCCTGGGGTCGGACCTACCCACTGCCCATTTTAGGGGCCTAGGCCACGCAGGTGGCAGTCACGGGGCAATGTCCAGGCCCAGCAGGCTGGCCCATGGCTGGCCACTCCCGGAGAAGAAGGGCTGATTTCTGCTTCTCAGCGGTGTGCGTGTCATTGCCCAGTGGAGCAGGGGGTCTCAGCTCAGCTGCACGGTGGAATCCCTGGGGAGCTTCAAAACCCCACAGCCAGCCCCCAGGCCCAGGGCGTCTGCCTCACTAGATCTGGGGTGGGCCCCGGCACCCGGAATTTTTTTTAAGTTCCCAGATGATTCCCGTGCAGGACAACGTGGGACGCCCTGTATCAGAGCCTTCCCACCCCGCAGGCTTCCAGTTCCTGCACAGGGGTCTCCAGGCCAGGCTCTGGGGCGCAGGACCCCAAGAGGAGAGCAGGGCAGGCAGCCCCGCGGAGAACGCTGACCAAGGCAGAGCGGGGTGGTGCAGTAACCACCAGCTCCCCCAAACCAGAGAGGGGTCACCATCCCCACAAACAGGGAAACTGAGGTGCTAGATAAGTTGCCACCTGCCCGATCTCATACAGGGACGGGCCTCAGGAGCAAACTGCAGAACCCACGCGGGCTCCCGGTCCCGAACTGCACCCACGCTCTCCAACCCTGAGTGCTGAACCATGGCCTGCACCCTGCGATGCACGGCCGGTTTGGCCAGACGAGGCTGTAGGAGCCTCGGCCCTGGGGCTGCGTTCCCCGACCCGGCCCGCTCAAGGCCCCGCCCACTCCGGGCCCCGCCCCCGAGGCCACACCCCCTCGAGGCCTCCAAGCTGGCAGGGTCCCCAGCCACGTCCTTCACTTCCCTGCCTTTACCCTGGTCATCCTCACTGCCTGCCATACCCTCCCACTCCTCTCCATCTCCTTAGGAACGCCCTCCTGGGCCCCACCAATGGGTGGTGCCGCTGCCCCCTCCTTCCTAATGACCGGCTGTGATCTGCCTCCCTCTGGGTTCTGAACCCCACTCCAGCTCCCCAATCCTGCCTGGGACCTTCTGGTGCATTCTGACACATTTCACCCCTCCATGAGGATGGCGGCTTCCCTGCGCGCCCCCCACCCATGTGCTCATTCCACCGTGTTTCCTGAGACGCAGCAGGTCCCCGCCCTATGTAGGGAGGAGATGCTCACAGGGGCAGGGGGGACCCAACAAAAGGGGCTCTTCTTTTGGCCAAGGGATATACGAGGTGCAGAGGGCCCCCCACCTCTTGCCTGGAGACTCAGAGGAGTCTTTGCAGAGGACAGTTGGTGGTGGGGGTCCTCTGGGGATGCACGAGAAGCGTGCCCTAATCAAAGAGGAGGATGAGGAGATGGGTGTCAAAACTGGAGGAAGGTCCAGGGAAAAACACTCAAGATTTGGGATGATCAGGCCATGGGTGCTGGGACCAAACGGGGGAGCATCTGAGAGAAGAGGGCAGGGGGAATGGGCAGGGCAGCCCAGGGAGGGGCATGACTCGGCCAGGAGGGCCCAGGGCAGCTTCTCAGACCATCCCCAGGGGAAATGTCCTCTGGGGGAGGGCCAAGATCGCCCCCAGGTGAGGACCACTGCTCTAGTTTGAGTGGCATTTGTGTGCAATGATGCAGGGCTGTTGTAACAGCAAAATGTAATAAATAATCTACATGTCCATCAACAGGGGATCGGTTAAATAAATCAGCGTCTGGCTATATAGCAGGGAACTATGTGGCCATAAAGAAGGAAGGAGCTCCAACTTGTACTGATAAGTGAAAAAAGCAAAACGCCAAACAGTGTAAACAGCACACAAGTTTTTACGTAAACAACGTGTATTTGCCTGTGCAGGTTTTTCATGGACGCTGACAACAGTGGCTGCCTCTGAGGTGGAAAGCTGGGGGCTGGGGGATCAGGAGGGAGAAAGACTTTTAATTATATAGTCTTTTGGAAAGTGCAAACATATTAGCTTTTTGTGTGTGTGTGTGAGGAAGACTAGCCCTGAGCTAACATCTGTTGCCACTCCTCCTCTTTTCTGCTGAGGAAGATTGGCCCTAGGCTAACATCCATGGCCATCTTCCTCTACTTTATATGGGACGCAGTCACAGCATGACTTGACAAGCAGTGCGTCGGTGCACGCCCGGGATCTGAACTTGAGAACCCCGGGCCACCAAAGCAGAGCACACGCACTTACCCGCTAAGCCACCGGGCCAGCCCCGCTATTTTTTTTTTTTTAATTTAAATTAAAATAAGAACATCTGATCATCTCAAAAAAAGAAAGTAAAATTGAAAAAAATAATAAACTGCCCACACGGTTGCCTTTAGACAAGCCCATAAGAACACCAGCTTCCCGGGGTCTGCACCCCCTCCCTACAGCCCCATGCGCCCCATTACCTCTGCCCCCAGGCCATACTGTTTAGTGTAGATGAACATGGCCAGGTCGTCAAAGAGTCGCAGGACAGTCCTGCAGTGGCTGAGCTGGGAGGACAGCGCCAGCAGGCGCGTCCCCACCTCTGACCTGGCCGGACACTGTTCCGTCAGGACCCCACCGACCAGCTGGCAGCAGTACCCCAGCGTTCGGATCTGTGGGAAACCAGAAGCAGTCAGCATGGCCCCGCTCCTGGGCTGAGCTGGGTCACCCCTGACCTGGCCGTGAGCCCCGTGGGATTGAGCGGGTGGAAGATTCTCCATCAACAAACTTCCAATAAAAGCTGAAAGTTTAAGAAGGCACTTGGAGGTGGGACAAGTGGGGAAGCACAGGGTCATTGTCCAAAAGGCACCGTGAGGGGTTTAATGGAGTGCTGGCTCATGTCACCGAGGGGCACAGTCTTTGGAGACAAATGTGACGGGGACAAGAAAATGAAACCACCATTTCACACCTCCTGAGTCCTCTTCCCCGCCAGGCAGGAGGACTAAGCGGAAATGTATATTTGCGTCCGCCTGGCTGGACCAAAGTCCGAGGCTGGGCTGGCGGGTGGGGAGGTGATGGGGCCTCAGCCCAGCGGACAAAGGATAATGTGCTTGAATTGCTTTAGTGAGAAGGAACCCACTCAGCGGGTCACTTGCGACACTGAGAACTGGGTCAGCGTCACTACCTTGACATTTTTCTTTCATCTGCTTTTCAGAAATTGCCTTTTCCTGTTGCTTTGCACATGATTTTTACTTGTGATTCCTTTTCAGCCCCTTTGTAATGGCAAAACGCTGCAATTTAAATGTCCAACTTGGGGGGATTTGTTAAAACCTGAGCGCCCAATCCGAGGGGATTTGGTGGGAACCTAAACATCCAGCCACAGGGGGAGCCTTGCAATACCTAAAGCCTCATATGAGATTGTCTGGGACAACCCAGGAGCCAACTGCAGAGGTCTGGTCGGATCCCGAATGTGCAAACGTGAGGATCTGGTTGGTACTGCAAATATCCAGCCCCGATGGGTTGGCCGGAACAACCGGAATGTCCACCGCTAGGGGACAGGGCTGGAGCCCAGCTCAGACAGGGCCTCCGCGATGGGGGCTCCTGAGCGTTCCCGCCCCTCTCTGGCCTCAGTTTCCCCGTCTCTGAGCCTAGGCCCAATCCGGGACCTCCGGCCGCGCTCCGCCCCAGCCTCACCAGGCGGTCCCGGCCCCTATACGACTCCAGCGCCGACGACAGGCCGCTCAGCGCCGCCATGGCAACTCCGCGATGACGTCACTGCGACGGCGGCGCACCGCCCTAGGGGGCGGGGCCGGGCGCGAGGCCACGCCCCTCTGTGAACGTTCTGCGCAGGCGCGGCCGCGACCCTTTGTCCCTGAACCCGCCTTTTGTCTGTTGCAGGGAGGGACGGGGTTTGCAGCTGCGGGGCCGCCACGTGCGCGTTCCCTGGGGGCCTCTGCACCCAGGACTGTCCTCGGAGCTCGCCGAGCTTCTGCCCCACGGCGGCTCGTCTTTTCAAAGTTAGCCAGCTCCCCACGCACGCACAAAAATAGTCCAAGCAAAAAGCACTGACCTCTTAGGTCGGATTCAAGGAGGGATTTTTCTAGAAATTTTTCTGCTTCACCCTGTCTGCATTGTCTGCTTGACTCTAATGAGAATGTATGGCTGTCGTAATGTCATATAAGGCATTTTTAGAAAGTTAGGGAAATGCATAGAATCGTTCTAGACGAATAGACAAGAATCTGGCAACCAGAGTTGCTTTTGAAAGAGGCAATGGGCTGGGAAGAAGAGATTAAATTGTTCCCCGTTGTACCGTCTTGTAGCTTTTTTCTTTTTTTCCAGTTATATTGAGATATAATTGACATACGTCACTATGAGTTTCAGGTGTACAGCATAAAGATTTGACTTACATATATTGTGAAATGATTACCACGATAAGTTTAGTTAACTTCCATCATCTCATGTCATATAATTTCGTAGCTTTTGAATTTTGTGCTATATGCGTGTATTATCTCGCCAAAAAGCCAAATAACATTGTTCAAAAAGTGAACGACCCATTCCTTTTTTTAAAAAAAATCGAGGTAAAATTCACGTAACATGAAATTCACCATTTTAAAATGGACAATTCAGTGGCATTTAGTACAGTCACATGTACAAACATCCCCCCTTTCTAGTTTCAGAACATTTGCATCACCCTCAAAGGAGACCTGCCACCCTTTTAAGCAGTCAGCCTATTCCTCTGGCCCCCAGCCCCTGTCAACCACCATCTATCTGCTTTCAGTCTCTATGGATTTACCTATTCTGGATATTTCATGCAAATGGAATCATACAATATGTGACCATTTGAATCCGGCTTCTTTCACCAAGCATGTTTTTTAAGTTGTGCACATTGTAGCAGGTATCAGAACTTCATTCCTCTCCTGGCTGAAGAATGTTCCATGGTATGGATATACCACACTTTTAGTTTATTCATCAGTTGATGGACATTTGGGTTGTTTCCACTTTATGGCTATCGTGAATAATTCTGCTATGAACATGCTATACGTGTACTTGTTCACGTCCCTGCTTTCAATTCTTTTGGGTAAACACCCAGAAGAGGAATTGCTGGATCATATGGTAACTGTGTTTGACTTTTTGAGGAACCTCCAGACTGTTTTCCACAACGGCTGCATCATTTTACATTCCCACCAGCAATGCACGAGAGTTCCACCTTCTCCACATTCTTGCCGACACTTGTTATTTTCCTTTTTTTTTAGTTGTGGCCACCCTACTGGGTGTGAGGTGGGAATTTACTGTAGTTCTGTTTTGCCTTTCCCTAATGACTAATGATGTTGACCAATGGTGTTTTGCAAAATATTTCCTCTTGATTTCAACTTCTGTTTCTCTTCCTGCCTCACTCACTCCATTCCAGCCCCATTGCTCCTGTTCCTTGAAGTTGCAGCACATTCTGCCTCAGGACCTTTACACTGGCTGTTCCCTCTTGCTCAAATATCATCTAGTCATGGCACCTCCCTGTCACACCCTCCTGGGCACTTCCGACTCACATTTCCTACTGCCTTATTTTTCTCCTTAGCTCGTAACTCTATCTAACATAACTGTATAGTTGGCTTCTTTATTTAGCTATCTAGTTTCTTGTCTGGTTACCTAGTTATTTGTCTCTCCTCAACAGAATGTGAACTCCACCAGGGCAGAAATTTTGATCTGTCTTGGTCACCGCTCTATCCCCACAGCCTGACACAAAACAGGTTCTCCCTAAGTGTCGTCGCCTGCGGGGCTCAGCTCCCTGTCCCAAGCTCTCTGCTCGTGCTCTGTCCACACAGTCCACTCCCACGACTTCCCTAGGCACCTCTTCGCTGGCCTCTCCCTCATCCCTCTCCAATCCTGAGCAGTCTCCGGCTCCCACCTGCCCCCTGAACATTCCCCCTGTGCATCCCAGGAGCACCCTTGCGCTCAGCAGGTCCCAGACTGACCTCGGCATCTTTCGCGGACATTTTGCTCTCCCATGTCTCCATCTCAGGGTTGCCCCGCCGATCACCGAGCCACTCAGCCACACACCTGGACATCACGCTCACCTCTTTCCCTCCACACACGTGCACACCCCCCTCCATGTCCCAACAGTCCCCAAAATATCCCTTGAGTCCATCCACTTCTTCCCAGCCCACAGTCCCCTCCATAGGCAGCCCCCATTCTCTCTCATCAGGACCCGGAGCCCCTGCCTCCCCCACAGCATCCCGAGAGGTTCGTTAACCCCCACATCCAACCACAGCCCTCCTTGCTTAAGACTTGGGTGCAGGGGTCTGTGTGCCCCCGCCTCCCAAATGGGGACACTGTTCCTGTAGCAGAAAAAAATCCGAGCCAAGCCGAAAGCCTGCAGAGGGATGGGGGCCTCCTGCCGCTGCCTGAGGAGCTGGGTCCCTTCTCTTGAGCCTGTGCTCTGCCCAAGGGCCTTGTAACAGCACAACGCATTTCTCTGAGCGCCTATTGTGTGCCAGGCTCTGTTCCAGGCACCACGGAGACAGCAGTGAGCCTTGTGGGCACCGCCCAGCCCTCCCAGCATCCCCCGTCATCTGCTTAGGGCTAAACTTGACCTTTGAGAAAGAGACAGGCGCTGGCCTGGTGTCCACAGCTGGCCTTGCTGTTGCTAGGAGCTGGCCTGGCAGGCACAGCGAGGCCCTGGTGTTCTCCCGCGGGACATAAATAATTCCGCGGGACGCCAACATCAGACAAGGCCACTCTGTGACCGTGGTGGAACGAGACAAAACAAGCCCACTTCGTAATCGTGTCTGAACACAGGCAAAACATGAGCATGGTCCGAACCATAGCAGCAACCAGATATTCGCTTTTCCTGGATCATTTGAGTCACTGCTGTTTCTTTACCAATCACGGCTTTATTCTTGCCTCATTCCTTAGACTTCTCGATAAAAATTATTCAGAGCCTCAGTAACAGAATTACCTCTCCCCCTTGCCTCCTGGTAGCATCCACGATCCATGATCCATCCTCTTTTCCCAGCAGGCAGGACCAGGCTGAAATGGATATTTGCATGCACCTGGCTGGACCAAAGTCCTCTGCTGGGCTCGGGGCTGAGGAGCAGGTGATGGGACCTCAGCCCAGTGGGCAAAACAATTTCCTTGAATTTAGTAAGTCAGTGAAAAGGAACCCACTCAGTAAATAAGTCCTGGAGATCTAATCCACAGTACAGGGATTACAGCCAACAAAACTGTACTGTAGGGCCGGCCCCATGGCCTAGCGGTTAAGTGCGAGCGCTCTGATGCTGGAGGCCAGGGTTCGGATCCCGGGCGCGTACTGATGCACCGCCTGTCAGGCCACGCTGTGGCGGCGTCCCATACAAAGTGGAGGAAGATGGGCACGGATGTTAGCCCAGTGTCAGTCTTCCTCAGCAAAAAGAGGAGGATTGGCAGATGTTAGCTCAGGGCTGATCTTCCTCACACACAAAAAATATATATAAACACTAAAAAAAAAAAAAAAAACTGTACTATAAGCATTAAACCTGCTCAGAGACTAGATCTTAATTGTTCCCAACAATTATGGGACACACAGAGGTGTCAGCTAACACCACAGTGGCAATTATATTGCAATATATACATGTATCGAATCAATATGTTGTATATCTTCAACTTAACAATGCTGTATGTCAAGGATACCTCAATAGAAAAAAAAAAAAAAGAAAGGAAGGAACCCATTCAGTAAACAATTTGGGGCACTATGAACTAGGACAGCTTTACCATCCTTATATCTGTATTTCATCTGTTTTTTTTTTAAGAAATTGCTTTAAAAATTTTTTTTATCGCAGTAAAATATACATAAAATAACATTTACCACTGTAACTATTTCTAAGTGTCCATTTCAGTGCCATTAACTACATTCACATGGTTGTGCAACCATCCCCACCATCTCCAGAACTTTCTCGTCTTCCCAAACTGAAACTCTGTCCCTATTAGAGGCTAACTCCCCGTTCCCCCGTCCTGATGTTTTATATATTATTTTTATTTGTTGGAGCATCTCAAGAAAGAAAGTTAAATGTTTACTTCGGCAGCACACCTACTAAAATTGGAATGATACAGAGAAGATCAGCATGGCCCCTGTGAAAGGATGACATGCAAATTCACAACGCATTCCATAATTTTGGATGACAGATAAAAACTAGACTATTGGCGGTGAACACGACACAATCTATAAAGAAGCTGAAATACAGCAATGTACACCTGAAATTTACACAGTGTTATAAACCAATATGACCTCAATAAAAAAATTTAAAAAGAGGGGCCGACCTGGTGGCATATCAGTTAAGTTAGCACACTCCGCTTCGGCAGCCTGAGGTTTGCCGGTTCGGATCCCAGACACAGACCTATGCACCGCTCATCAAGCTGTGCTGTGGTGGCGTCCATATAAAGTAGAGGAAGATGGGCACAGATGTTAGCCCAGGGCCAATCTTCCTCAGCAAAAAAAAAAAAAAATTTTAAAGGGAAAAAAAAGAAATTCACATTTCCAACCAGTAAAAGGATCCAACACAGAGCAAAACCCCATGTCCTTAAACCTCCCAAGAGCCACCTAAGACAAGTCCAGTTCTGAGAAGCCCTCTCTTTTAAAAAAAAATTTTTTTGCTGAGGAAGATTAGCCCTGAGCTAACATCTGTGCCAATCTTCCTCTACTTTATATGTGGGTCGCTGCCACAGCATGGCTGACGAGTGGTGTAGGTCTGCACCTGGGATCTGAACTCTTGAACCAAGGCCGCCAAAGCAGAGCACACTGGACTTAACCACTATGCCACAGGGCTGGCCCCCTGAGAAGCCCTTTCTCAAGCCCTCCTGAGATGAGATTTCCCACAGCTCCCCGTGGACTGTGCTCTCTCTCACTGCAATGAGTAATAAGCCCCAGTTTGTTCAACCACAGGTGTGTTCCTCGTGGTCTTTGGGCTGGGGGACCACGATGTCATTAAAGGGTACCTTGGAGGTCTGGGAGCCCTGGCGTGACATTAAGTAGTGCAGTGACTCAGAGAGGTTAGCCTAGTCTGTGTGGGGCGTATTGAGGAAGCAGACAAGCAAGAAAACTCGGGAAAATGATAACAGACACCAGCAGACTGTTGCATCAATCGCTACTTTCTGAAGCGGTTACCATCCCCATTTTTCCAGATGAGAGAAGCCAAGTCATTTGCCAGGCTCCCTCGAGCTCCCAGGAGGCAGGATCCTCTGGCCTCGCTCCTGATTTTCCTCCCGGCCACGCCCAGAGTTGCTGGGGACCATTGTGACAGCATTGTCCAGGAAGCTGTATGGGTCACAATAGGCAGGGCCGCACCACACGTGAACGCAGCTTTGGAAGGAACATGTGAGCATCCTCTGGGAGACAGGGGACGGAGGGAGTCTCGAGGCTGGTCGCCAAGTGCATTTTCTAAGACCCATTAGCCCCCATGTCACCCCTCGAGGTAGGTGCCCTGTCCTCATCCTTGATGACGCATGAAGCTCACAGAAGCCCCATGACTTGTTCCAAGGTGACCCGGCTAGTAATTTCAGTTGTCAGATTCTCCCATAAACTATCTGAGGTCTTCTCAACTCAACTATTTTAGGTGGCAAAATGATCAAAAAAGCACGCTTCAACACTGAAAAACTGTGGTTTCATTAAAACACTTGAAGCGTGTCTTCTAAAGAGGTCGACATGAGAAAGTAGTTGTGGGCTGAAGTGGTCTGGGAGGACTTCCTGCAGGAGGTGAGCCTCAGTCAGGGGTGCTGGTGGCACCCGATGGCTGGTCTCTGAGGGGCAGGAAGGGGGGTGCGGTGGGGGAGACACCTCTGCTCTGAGCAAAGGCCAGAAAGTCCCAGTGGGCTAAGTGGGGTGCTGAGAGCCTGGAGCAGAAGGTCAGAGAAGTGAGTGGGGGTGTGTAAACCGTCCTCAGTTTGAGGACAGGAAGGGATCTAGGAGAAGAGTCAGGGCCCAGGACAACTGCAGAGGGCGGGAAAACCAGTGAGGAGGTGTGTGGCAGAGATGGGACAGTGGCCAGGGTTGGGCAGAGACCGAAGTGAGTTCCCAGACATGAAGGAGGGGAGAGCCATGGCCCTGACAACTGACTGAGGGCGAAGAGAGGAGGTTCCTGCATCAGACAAACCAGAATGCAGTGCTTAATTCTGCAGCTCTCCCTGTTGCTCACTCTGCAGTGGCCTCAGGGCCTTTGCACCTGCTGGTCCTTCTGCCTGGAATGCTATTCCTTCAAATACCCAGATGCCCCCTCCCATCTTTTTCAGGTCTTTGCACAACTGCCATCTCAGTGAAGCCTTCCCTGACGACCCTATTAAAACTGCCACCGTCCCACCCTAAAACCCCATCCTTCTACCTTGTATGACTTCCCACGGCATTTATCACCTTGTCATTTACTCTACAATTTATGTTATATTTAGTCCTTACTGTCTTTCACCTCCTGGCCCCATTATCATCTCCACAAGGGCAGGGCTCTTGGTCTGTTTTGTTAACTGATGTACCCCTCCGAGGGCCTACAAAGTGCCTGGCACACAGTAAGCCCAAATGAATGAGTGTTTCTCTCTGCTTTCCCTGGGGGCAGGCACAGGGGCTGCGCCTGTTTCTTCCCATGTTCCCAGCGCCGAGCCCAGCGCCTGGCACACAGGAAGGAGTAAACGGCAGCATTGTTCCCGGCGGGCACTTGCTCAGTCCTGTATCTCGCCCCCTCGCAGGTGGCTCCACGTCCCGCGGTGGCCGCGGGCGCCCTGCTGCCCTGCCCGATGTCCCGGCGGGACTTCCTCAGGGCCTCGCACTTCGCGCTGGGGCCCGACCCGCGGCTGCACATGGGCACCATGCGCTCCTCGTCGCACCGGGACTTCCCGGCCTACCCGGGCGCCCCCCGCACGCTGCGGAGCCAGCAGCCGCCCCGCGCGCCCCTCTTCCAACGGGACGCGCGCTGGGCGGGCGAGGAGCGCGTGTCCGAGGCGCACTGCGCCTTCGCGCCACCGCCACGGTCCTCGCTGTTGGGGGAGCAGGAGCGAGCGCGGGAGCGCACGCTAGCCATGCGGGCCAGCCACCTACACGTGCACGCGGACGCGCGCGCCCGCACCAGCCTCGCCACCACGCGCGCCGACTTCCGCTGGCCCGAGCTTTCGCCGCGCGCCCTCGAGCAGATCCGCAGCGCGCGCCTCATCTTCGACCGCGGCTCGGTGCCGACCGGCGACCGCTCCCAGCTGGGCATCCCGCCCACCACTCACCAGGCGCTCTTCCCGCCCTACGACGCGTGCCTGCAGCCCCGCGCGCCCTGCAGCCACCTCGGTGAGCGCGCGCCTGGGCGCCCTGGGCGGTTTGCTTAACCCACTGGTTCCCAAAGTGGGCGGGGATTCTGCGCCCTCCCCCGGGGAACGTTTGGCAACGTCTGGAGATCATTCTGGTTGTCACGATGGAGGGAGGGGATGCTAGTGGCAGGGAGAGGATGGAGGCCAGGGATGCTGCTAAACATCCTCCCACACACAGGACGGCCCCCACAGTAGAGACTTATCTAGCCCGCAATGTGAATAGCACCGAGGCTGAGAAAGCCTGGATCTTCCTTGAGCCTCCGTTTCTGCATCCGTAGAATGGGCACAGCTCCTGAATCTCCCCAGGGGGCTGTGTGGTGGGCAGAAGTCGTGAATGCTGGTTTGGGGTCAGACAAATCTGCTAAGTCCTCCGCACCACCTCAGCCCTGCCACCTTAGTAGTTGTGTGACTCTGAGCAAGTGGACCTCTCCAAGCCTGTTTCCTGGTCTGCAAAATGGGTGCCATAACAGGGCCCCACTTCATAGGAGCCGGTGACACCGAGATAGCCCGGAGCGCATGATTTGCCTGGCATACAGTGAGCGCTCGACCAAGAGCAGCTGTCACTAGTGTGATTTTCAAGGAAACTTTCCCAGGGACCTCACTAGTCAGAGTCCCTCCAAGCTGGGCTCAGGGATTGTCAGACCCGGACTCAGCTCAGCTCTGCCTCTGAATTTCTGTGATTTCTGGCAAGTCACGTAGCCTCTCTGAGCCTCAGGGAGGCTGTAAGGTGGGGGGAATAATACCAGCCCCCCAAAATGAGATGCAAAGCTTAACCTAGCTGCCTGGTCACTATTTGGTAGTTATTCTTGTTTTATCATGATTTTTATTATTTTTGGTGTTTTCCAGACAGCTCTCAAGCTAGGCTAGTCGGGACTGCCCAGCTTCCCTTCCCAGGGAAGGAATTGAATCCCAGCGGCCCTGAGGCTTCCAGGAGTTATCCCGTTAATCCCATTCTCTCTCTCCTCTCGCCCATCCTCAGAAGGCCCCAACCGCCTCAGGTGGGACCACAGGAGACAGGACGATGGGACCTCCTACCAGAGAGAGTTCCAGGCCCTGCCGGGCCCACCTGCCTTGATGTCTAAGAGGGTAAATCAAAGCCGGGCTGGTGCTGCTGGGGAGGGCAGCGATGGGGCCAGGTGGTCTTGCCCTTCCCACCCCTCTCCACCCACAGGCCTCCAGCAGCGTGGAACTGGGAGACTTCAAGATTGGCTATGGTCCCATGTGTTCGGAGCAGAAACAAGCCTACAGGCCCCAGGGTCTGCCCTCAGACAGGTACAAAGGGACAGTGGCCTTCCACCAAGACGGGGCAAAGGGCTCTCAACGACATGTGGGGTGTGCCATCTGAGGCTCTAGGGTCACCATCACCCGCAGGCCAGGCCAGATCTCCCGCCATTAGCACCCCACAGCTTGGCCCCTGGGAAACCTGCCTGTCTCCCTTTTCCTGGCATTTGCAAGGGCCCAGATCAGATAGATCCCCCCTTATCTGCAGGTATGACAAGGCCCAGGCCTTGGCCCACATCCACTATGTGAACATTCATCCCGGAGACGGCGTCTTCCGGGACAGGACCACCAAGGCTGAGCACTTCTACGCCCAGGAGCCAGGTGAGAGCCTGCTGCCTGCCCGCCCCTGGCTCCCACGGCAGCCTCCCAGGGCTGCTCAGCACCTACTCTGCCACTGGCAGAGCCTTTTGTTCTTCACCACGACAAGACTCCACAGTCGCACATCCTGGAAGGAAATTGGTGCCCTGGCCCGGGCAGCCTCACCACCTCCATGCATTTCTTCCACGGCCAGGTCAGCGGGCAGGGGGAGAAGGCGGCAGGGCTCATTAGGGAAAAGGGCTTCCCAGGCAGAGCGAATAGCAAGTGCAAAGGCCCTGAGGTGGGAGTGAGCTTGACATGTGTGCGGGGATCTCCTGGATCTATTTGCGTGACCTTGGGTAAGTAGCTTAACCACTCTGAGCCAAGTGGCTCTGTCTGTAAAAGGAGATAACAGTACCAACTCCTAGCGCCATCATGTGGGGCCCAGAGAGAGTGAGCTGTCCAAGGTCATACAGTGCCCATCTCTTCCCTCCAACCGGGCCTGGGGACATTCTGGACACGCGGGAGCTTCCCAGATGCCCTGTGGTCCTACAGCCGCCTCCCGCCACCAAGCCACCCTGCCGCCACGTGTCTCAGGAGAAATTGCAGAGTCACGTGACCCTAGGGGAGCCTTCGCTGCTGGGACAGTTCTTCCGGACCTCCATGGGCACGGACTATTACCCGCCTGGGACGCCAAGGCTGCAGAAAGCCCCCAACCTCCACTTGCTGCAGAGCAACCTGCCCCGGGGCACCGGCGGTGAGCGCGGCCCCGCCCACCCCTGGAAGCCCCGCCCCCACTGCTCTGGCCCCGCCCCTGTCCGTCCCGCCCCGCCCACTGCCCCACTCTGGCTCCGCCTCCTGAAGGACTACATCCCACCCCATGGACCAAGATCCCAACTCCACCCCTGGACGACCTCGCCCCCTCGTGGGCATGGCGCCTCCTCCGCCTTGGCACTGCCCCCTGCATGACCATAGCCCCGCCCCTTTCCATATCCGCCCTCACCTGACTCTAACTCCCACTCCTCTGTCAGACTCTGGCTCCGCCCCCTGACCTGCTAGCCTACCCTCCCTGGCCCCCAGACTCGTGCGCACTTGCCCCGCCCCTACAGCCTCAGGCCCACCCCGGCTCCTCTCCTCTCCCCGCCTCCTACTGCATCCTTCGCTTCAACTTCAGCGTTGGCCCGAGCTTCGCCCTGAACCCTTGCCCCATCCTTAGCCTTGCACGTCCCTGCCCCCTGGCCCTGCCTCTCCTCCCTCGGCCCCTCAGCTCGGCCACCCCCACCCAATTCTTCAGAACCAGATTTCTTAACCATGAACCAGAAGATGCTGAAGCCGCACAGGGTAGCCCCGGCCTCCGCGACTGAAGAGATGCTACAGCGGGTGAGGAAGGGGCAGGGGAGGGGGCACCTCCCTGACCAGGGAACCCCCCAGATCAGTGTAGACTTATCTCAGGATGATGATACTGTCACCTCAGACTCAGAATTAGTGTCAAGTCCGCTCGGGGTCGCTCTAGGGTCACCCTAGGCTCAGGGTCGTCTTAATGTCATCTGAGCGTCAAGGTCATCCCTACCTCACCCCCAGGGTCATGTCAGGGGCAGCTCAGGGGCATCTTCCTATCACCAACCACAGTTATACCCCAAGCCGAGGGTTAGCTCAGAGTCACCTAGGGTCACCCCAGCCCTGGGGTCATTCCAGGCCCCCCCGCCAAGTTTCTCTCTGGCTTCTGGGTCATCCTACACAGGGCTCCCCCCATTTTGTCCACCTCCCCAGGGCCCAATCACCAGCCTTTGATGCTCCCAGGGTGATGGTGGGGACCATGGGTGGGACAGCCACCCTGCAGGCTGCCCTGCCAGGCTGCCCACCCTGACTCCACAGTGCAAACACAGCCACATGGAGCCCCCGCTGGGCAGACAGCGCTTCTTCTCGACCCAATATGAAGACGAGTTTACCTTCAAGTACCAGCGCCCGGCAGGGCTGAGACTGAACAACTTCCAGGAGAGCCACGTGCCGCTGGGCTCCCCTAGCCAGTGGGGCTGTGGGGGTGGGAAGGTAGACCCTCAGGCACCCCAGACTCCTACCTACCCGTGCCCTAGCCAGCAATAAACAGCGCTTTGTCAACATTCCACCCCTCTCCATCAACCGCCATAAAAGAGGATGCTCGGAGGGATGGGGCTGTACAGGAGAGGATGACTCCATCGAGAAGACTCTGAAGAGACACTTCCGTGGAGCCTGCGGGTCGCCCTTCTCTGGGCAGGTATGCCGTCCTAGCTTGTGCAAAGCCTTGCTGGGTGGACTCAGTGTAAGGCATTCAGGGGCAGTGACAAGTTCTGAATGATGTAGAGATGATGGAGTCACCGTCTTGAACAGAGGCAGTGTGGTGAGGGGTTAAGAAGACAGGCTCCTGGGGCTGACTGGACAGAGTCCAAATCCTCACTCCTCCGTGTCCTGGATAGTCATCTTGGGCAAATCATTTAGCCTCTCTGAGCCTCAGTTTGCTCATCTGTAAAATGGGGATAAAGGGCAGCTTTCTCATTAGAATGTTATAAATGAGAAATGTACATGCTTGTCAGCGTGTGTGGCTGAAGGTCAAGGGGGGAGAGCTTCCCTTCTGAGGGTGAAGGTGAGGAGGGGAGAGAAAGATGAGGGCGTGGGAAGGAGCTTTCAGTCGCTGAGAGGCCGGGTGGGGCTCGGAGGGGGCGTGGAGGGGTGGACACGCTGAGCGTGGCCCAGCAATGTCCTCCATTGTGGGCGGAGACTAGAAGCTGAATGGTGTGCTGGCTGGCTGGGCGATGGGCCCCCAGGTCAGAGCTGGGTCCAGGGGCAAGTCAACAAAAGCCACTGGGATATGATCAGATCCAAGGGGGTAGGTGGCCAGCTGGGGACGAAATAAAAAGAATGGAACAAGAGGAGGATTGGATGGGGCCCTGGAGCCCATGGGTGACAAGGCTGAGCAAGCATGTCAAGGCCCAGTACCTTGGACAGCGCCCCCACCTTGAAGGTCTGGGGTTTGGTGAGGTCAGTATCAAGAGGCCAGCTCTGTCTGGGATAAGATGGGCCTCGGTGGCGGCGCTCAGGACCAGCCTCTCTAGGCTGTTGAGAATCTGATTTCATGGAATGAACACAGCTCCCTGACCCTGTAGTCAGACCTTCAAAGACCAAGGCCCCCAATCCAATGGGCTACTAAGAGCCAACCTCAAGCCTGGCCGGGAGCCCTCTCCTCATGGGCAGCAATTCTGTCATTGTGTTGTCATTTCCACAGGAAGGGCAGGAGTCCAGCTTTGGACCCTATGGGGACAAGATGGCCCTTTTGGATGCACTCATGGTATCCATGTTGACCGTGAGAGGGTCTGCTAGTTTTAGAACACCTCTCTGCTTGCTTCTACTAAAGGCAGACATGACACTCTTCTGAATTACTTCATGATAAACCAGAATTTCTCAATCTCAGCATCGTTGACATTTTGGAGAGGATCATTCTTTGTTGTCAGAGGCTGTCCTGTTCACTGGAGGAGGTTTAGCATCATCCCTGACCTCAACCTACTACATGCCAGTAGCACACTCCCTCTCCCTCCTCCAACCAAAAATGTCTCCAGAAATTGCCAAATGTCCCATGGGGGGAAGAGTTGCCCCTGCTTGAGAACCACTGCAATAAAGCCATTCTACAATAATTTCCAGGCTTTGCTGATGAAGCTGGTCTGATTGTTGACCAGACTACGTGAACAAAAAAGCTTTCCCTTTTTGCCTTGCCTGCCAGGAAGCTTAGAAAACTTACTTTGGTGGTCAGCTCCATGTAGCTCCACTTGCAGGATTATTTGCGCTCCTGCCTGGTTCTAGGAATGGTTTAAAGCAACCCAGACACAAGATGAAAAATAATGGGTAGAAGTTACAAGGAGGCAGATTTCAGCTCTACTTAAAGCATTTTCTAACAATGGAAGTGACCAGCCCCAGGATAGGTTGCCAGGAAAGAACACAGACTTTACCAGAAATATTTTCAGTGCAGAAAGACTTTAGATCATGATGATTCTGGATATATTTTATGGATTTATGTCTATCCCTCCTATATCCCACTCACCTCCCAAAAAAAGGCATTTCATGTGAACTATGAAAACGAAAAAGGCTTATGAAATTAAGATGAATAAAATAGGACTGAGCATGGGAAAACAGATTAATTGTTAAAGGAAAACAACTTTGTCAAGAGTAAGCCTCACCGGGCAGCAGAATTCAGACCTGCCACGCACCTGTTTTTCTGTCCTGGGGCACATGATGTCATGCTCTGACTTTCATCCGTAAAATGGGGATGGCAAGAGTTCCTTCACAGAGTGGTGACAAGGATTAAATAAAATGTGCATGTACCATTCCTAGACCAGGCTTAGCATTTGGGTGCAGCTCAATGAATGGTCCCAAAATTTTGTTAATGTCTCAGGTCATTTTGCTGTAACAGAAACCCAGCTCACGCAGAAAGGGATTTTATTGATTTACATAACAAGAAAATTTGGAGGTAGGTCTAACACCAGGCATGTGGGTTCTGCATCAGGACTTTCTCCCTCACGGTCTGTCTGTCCTGTGTCCCTCTAAGCAGTGCAAAAATGATGCTGGTAGCCCAAATTCTTACGATTAAAGACCCAAAGGAAGGGGAGAGAGGTCTTCCCAATTCCTCATATTGGAATGTAAGGAACCCTCTGATTGGCCCATTTGAGTCACATGCTCAGCCGTCAACCAATCAGAAGGACGGAAAACTGTGATTGGATGGCCCAGCTCACTAGCCCACCCCTGGGTGATTTGGTTCCCCAAATCTCACCGGATCTTTGAATCTGGAGCCTGACCTTGCTGGACCCTGTCTCCTAGCAACAGACCCGTGCCTGTCCATCACCTCTTGCCCCAGGTTACAATCTGGAGGGTGGAAAGACTCAGCTAATAGGCTCTTCCCGATGAAGGTAATTGTACTGTTCCAGACAGGGAGAGTGTTCCACAGTAGCCTGGGGCATCAGGTGCCCCCCAGTTCTCTGATAATCCCAATCTTATCTTCCACCTCATCGCTAACTTCCTCTTTTGCTTGGGGCAGAGAATTCAGCTCTGGCAATCTCACAAAATCGAGCAGATGCTCAGGAAGGAGCACATGGAGGGAGTTTGTGTCTGTCTTGCAAGACCTTGCTGAAGGCTTCATGAAAGCTCCCACATATTCCAACATCCTGATATTTTTCTGCAAAACCCCTCAACCCACAGTCTCAGGAGACACATGGTTAGAGTCCCAAGATAAAATAGGCAACAATTTAATCAGCTATTTTTCCCGCACATAACAGAGATTTCCAGTTTCCTGAGGAGGGTTCTTCTACAGGGCTGCTTCATACATCTGGGCAGGTTGTGCACTGGACAAATCTAGGGAGCCCTATTCGCTTTATAGTGAATATATATGTCTGTGGTTGTCCTGGCTCTCTACATCACCTTTGCTCAGCAAATCCACATTTTAAGTTATTTCCCTCAATACCCTTCCCTTTCCAGGTACAAATTTCTAAATTAGTCAAGACTATCATGGATTCCATGGATAGAAATCCACTAAAACTAGCTCAAATGTCCAGGAAATTTTGTTGGCTCATGGTACCGGAAAGAATGAGGGCTTCTGGCTTCAGGTATGGCTATATGCAGGAGCTCAACCAATATAGCCATAGCTGTCTCTCTGACTCTCACATGTACATCCTGGGGTAGACTGACTTCAGGCTGCAGACTGTTCTTCCAGACAACTGGGGAAGGTGGCTGCAGGTAGAATGAGGCCCTATATAGAGCTCCTGATCCCAGAGGAAGAATGAGACCCTCCACCATCATGTCCTCATCCCAGACCTAATTACTGTGGCCAGGGGATGGGGTTCTCTGATTGGTAAGTCTAGATTGCATGGTCCTGGGGGCTGTGTTAGACACGGGTCCTTCTGGAATAGTGAAGGGGGATCCAGAAATGGAAAGCAAGTCGCTGATGGAGATAGTGGGCAGACAGAAACAACAGCTGTCATTACGAGAATTATCAGCAATGGGATCATCCAGGAAGTGGCAGGATGAGGAACCAGCGACATAATCTAATTGCAGTCTCAAAACTCTCAGATCTGCTGTGGGCTTTTCCACAGAAATGTGGAAGGCAGGTCTCAGGCCATAAATTCAGTACAGATCAGGGGCCGGCCCCGTGGCTTGGAGGTTAAGTGTGTGCGCTCCGCTGCTGGCGGCCTGGGTTCGGATCCCGGGCGCGCACCGACGCACTGTTTCTCCAGCCATGCTGAGGCTGCGTCCCACATACAGCAACTAGAAGGATGTGCAGCTGTGACATACAACTATCTACTGGGGCTTTGGGGGGAAAAAAT